TAGTACAATTGCTTGATAGATACAATTGGAGATTTGCTTGTCCTCTGAAAATAACTATGTTTTACCCGCTTTAGTAATATCAAAAATTTCATTAAGGGGTTCGTAGCTTCCCCACTTGACACATTCATCATAACATTTCAGTATTTTATCAAGCTTTGCTCGTATAACTTGATCAGATACATGAGGAAAATTCAGTTTATTCTTCCACAATTTGGTGACTTCTTTGGAAATTTCCACTATTTGCTTCTTTCTTCCTTTGATTTTTGGTCCAAGGAAATGTTAGCGACCGATAATTTGCTTTTGGAGAGGCATTCTGCACTTTTCTTCCAGTGAATATTATTCCTAAGAGACCATTCTTCTTCTTTTATGAGTCTTCAAATTTTACCAGATTATTGGTCCAGACATCCTTGTTCTTCTGAATGCTACTATCAATAGGCTTGTACGATGCCAAGTGTTGCGCTCTGTAATAACTATAAAATTAGATGAGCAGCTAGATATAGTCTAAAATGTTCTAGAATATTTCAGAATATTCTATATTGTTAACATAAAATATTTTGGAATATTCCAAAATATTTTAAATTGTTCTAGAATGTTCTAAATTGTTCCAGAATGTTTTAAATTGTTCTAGAATGTTCTAAAGTCTTTTAAAATACCCTATTATTTTCTAAAATGTTCTAAAGTTCTAAACATATTTAATCTATACAAGTTTTAAATGATTTGCAGGAAAGCCACCAGTATTAGTAGTAGCAGTAACAAGATTAAATAAATGACGAAAGGTAATTTGAATTGCGGAGTGACCTTTTTATACAACAGAAAGAAATTGAACTTGTTTTCAATATTTTCTAATAAAAGTCTATCGATTCATGACACAGGAAATTAATTTTTTCCAAAAAGTCAAAAAATCATAACCCTAATATATATACTTTTTTTAATTCATTTTTGCTTCCAACAAGGCTGCAAGCAACCACTATTAAAGTTTGAAGTTAATGGAAGAGAAAAGATAATATTTATAGAGCAAGACAACAATTGACAGATGACTTAAAAACCACAAATTAATTGAATCAGGAAAACAAGAAGAAGGAAGTGAATTCCAAAGAGCTGATGTTTGAGAAAAAACTAGACAAACAGTCGCAGTAAAAGAATGAGACTTAATTGAATGACGAGTAACACGAGAATGAATTTTATTACTTGAAACAAGAGACGATATCTCTTTAGAGCAGTGCCGATTATAGTATTTGTAGAAAAGAGAAAGCGAAGCAACATTACAACGATGTGATAATGGTTGGAGGTTGGCTACAAGAACAGGTCCAACTATGTTTACAACACGTGTTTGCACCTTGTCTAAAAGAGAAAATGCGTCATTTGAAGATCCGCCCCATATATGGCAACAGTATTCCATACAAGGACAGATTTGAGATTTATAGAGATAAAAAATAGAATTCAGAATGAGAAAGTGATGCAACCTTAGCAGATGTTAATTTTACAATCGATTCCATATGGTTTCCAAGAAAGATCTGAAGTAAAAGTTAATCCTAGAAGATGAAGGGTAGATGACTCATTGAGTACATTACTGTTAATAAATATAGGAAGATCTAAATTATTGTAATAATAATTGGCTGAAAATAATTGGGTTTTATCTGAGTTAAAGTTCACCAAACACTGTGAGCCCAACGCTGTAGCAGAAGTGAGATTCTTTTCAAATGCCCCCTCCAAGCAATCAGAGAGTGTTGGCTTCTTACCAAGACAAGAATAAATGGTAGTATCATCGGCAAATACATCCTTAGACGTGAGACGAAGATCATTAATGTAAATTAAATATATATATATATATATATATATATATATATATATATATATATATATATATATATATATATATATAAAGTATATATATATATATATATGTAAATGTATATATGTAAATACTAAGTGAATACTTTTGTATTATCATGTATATTTTTGTATACTTGAAAGAGTGCTCAATAGATAAACTAGAGTTATATAATATAAGTTAATATTAGCCGTAGTAATAGGAATTAGATAAATGCTAAAATTTATAATAGAATATAGCAACTCAGAGTTTCATGTGTTATCATAATTATCAGGTAAAGTTAGTAATAGTTAATTTTGCTACAATTTATTTAGTATAAGTTATGATTTATATGCGTTTTTTGCTTCAATTTATTTAGTAGAAGTTATGATTTATATGCATTTTGGATCGCTTGTTTAGTTGTTAAGGTTAATGTTAATTTGTTGTTTACTATTTTTAATTTTTATTATTAGTAAAATTATTATTATTATTAGTTACTACTAATAATGATGAAACAGCTAGGTATTTTAATGGTTTAATATTAAAATTAAAGATTTTCTATAAATTGTTTAAATTTTCTTTTTTTAAATCACTCTTGATGTCAACTATTGATAAGATGTGATTATATTAATATTAATATTGTAATTTAATAGAAGTAATGTTGTTTCATTTTTGTTTTTGAAGTAATTTCTAGGTTTTTGTATACATTGTTTTTTATTCCATGCGGTCTTTTGAGCAAGGTCTGCAGATAATATTATATTTATAGATAAAGATTATTGTTTGTAGAAAGATTAATGAGAATAAAATTTTATTTATGTATTTAACATGAAAAGTTAAACAAAATAAGCCTGTTATTGTGGACATGTTTATATACATAAATTTGCGTTTATTTCAGTATATAATATATTTCTCTATATGTATATTTTCTCATAGAAAAAATAATGTGTTATGCTTCATTTTAAGGTACCTGAATATGTAATTAATTATTAATTTTGTTTTTAAATGGTTTCGTCTTTTTCATTACTTTAGATAAATATATACTGACTGACATAACTTCATTTTTATTGACTTTGTTATGCATTGTAGTCTGCATTCTTTGTTACATTAAAAACAATTGATACTAATAAATGTTGTTTTATATATTAAATAAGTTTAAGTTCATTTCATAATCAGTTTGTATTGTTTTTTATTTAGTAAATTATATATACATATCTATATAAAATTGCATTTGATATATATTTTTTGATATATTGCTTTAAATAAGGCATTTTTATCTTTTTATATTTGCTCTTTTTAAATAGTTTTAAATAGTTAAATAAAATTATTTTATAGATAAGAATTTAACATTGTGCTTTATTTTATTACCAAATAATATCTTTGTTATTAGGATTGCAGGTTTTTGTTGAACAACATTATTTATCTTTTTTAGATATGTTTTTACAACTTTAGACAATAATTTAATCATTTTATTTGATTTCTTTTTTTTTAAATAACGGCAATTTATAAAAGTTGTTTATTTTATTCTTATGTTCACTTAAAATGACAGTAAATAATTTGTATAGAAAAGATCATAAATTTTAAGATTCTTTTGCGTTTATTTGTTACCACAGTTGTAATACTACTGTTAATATGTTTATTTATAATAGTGAAATTGAAATTGAAATAAGTTATTAAAAGAATACTATCAACTTAAAAAATAATTGATACTTTAGTAAAATTATTAGAACTAAGCAAGCTGAAATAATTTGTCGTCAAAATGAAAGAAATGCTGCTTGGCAAGAAGAAATTATTTGATACTTATTTTAGAATATCATGGTTAGGCGGATTTGATAAAACACCTTTCTTATGTTTCCATAATGGTTTTGCTTATTTTCACTATTTCCACAAGATTACATAATTCCTATATCAATTTTTTGTATAATCATATAACAGAATAAAATTATGAAATGAAATGATTTTATACTTTTTTTTTGAAGTTCAAACATTTTAATTCTTTTTTTTTTTTTTTAGTTTTGTTTTATTAAGTTAATTACTGTTGAAACATGGTTTTTATTTAGTAAATTAATATGATATGAAATTTACTGTGTTTATCGTTATTCATAGTTATGAAAAAATCGGAATTCTAAACTATTAGGGTAAAAATAAATTTATTTATTGGTAACATTAAAAAGCCTTTTTTTTTTATGGTTAATTGTGCTATAGCTATTTTGTGCTAATATATATATATATTTTTTGTCATTGTTATTAAAAACAATAACTTGAGTTATGAATAAAATAATTTATTTTAACACTGTGCTTTTAAAACAGTCTGTCTCCTCTCTGTTTAACAGTTTATTAATAAAGAAGAGCATTATTGGAACAATCTGCTATTATTAAGCTCTTATATTTTTTTTGGTACCATAATTGATAATGACCATGTTTTAGAAATGTTTTACGAGTCACTAATTTATGAACACAATAAAAAATATGTAAAACAATGCTCCCCTTTATTAATAAATTTACTTTTTCTAAAATACAATAATAAATATGTAAAATAATGCTTTTGTTTTTTCAGATAATACTTTTTTTTTAGGTATTGGTAAGTTGTACTTGGCTTTCTTTCTCTGGTGCTTGCTGTTATTAAAAAGAACCTAATATCTTAAGTTTCGTGGCCTTTACTAAAAACCAAGACCGATAAAAGTGAGCAAAACTAAAAAGATTATATTATATAGATAGGGCTTCCATTGTGTCCTGATTTTTATGGAGGAGAGCGCAACGCTAAACTAATCAAAACTTTTATAGCATTTTTTAGCAGAAAAATCTGGACAATAGCAGCCCTATATATAGTTAAATTTGTATTATATATTTGAGATAATATATCAAGTTAAATTGCCATTTATTCATTACTAACCCATATTATTTATTACTAACGGGTTGCTTACTGCTAGTTACATATTATTAGTCCAAATTATTATTATAAATATTATTAGTCCAAGTTATTTTGGCATTTTTGGAGTTTTGAAGCAAACCACAAACATTGTACAGAACGGCTTTAAAAAATTTTTTCTTATTTTTTAAAAACTGTCTTGTTACGATTAGTTATTTAATTTTTTTTTTATGACTAATTATAATATGTTGTATTAGCATTTTGTAATATATTGTAAATTATCTTGTCATGAATTGTTGATAACATAAGGAAAAGTTGACTTACACATATCAAATGCTGTTTTTAACTTTTCAACTACTTTCATGTTACCATTGACACGAAATAGACCTTCATGCTTTAGTCCATGTAACTTTAGATATTCACAAAGTCTTGTTACTATAATAGGAACATCACTTTGATCTCTATGATTTAAATATTCCAATGGCACACCTATAAAAAAATTATTACTATATATCAATCATTTGGAAAGCTATTTAAAAATAATTCCTGAATTAAAATAAAAAATATATACTGACAAGATAACCAGACATTTGATTGAAAAAACTAACACATAAAAAGAATAATAATTAACAAGGTGATGAGTTTATTATATGTATTAGCTGATCTGACCCGTAGAAATATGGGTCTTTGTAAGTCGCCCTCTTTACGTCTTCTTGGATTATCGCTTACTACTGACCTTTCATGGAAACCATATATACAATCGATTGCTAAATTAGCTTCTGCTAAGGTTGCTTCTCTTTTTCGTGCTCGCCATTTTCTTACTTCTCATTCCATTCTCTACCTCTACAAATCTCTTATTCGTCCCTGTATGGAATACTGTTGTCATATTTGGGCTGGTTCTTCTAACGATTCACTTTCTCTTCTTGACAAGGTCCAAAAACGCATTGTAAATGTTGTTGGACCTGGACTATCTGCTAAGCTTGAACCTCTTTTCCATCATCGTAAAGTTGCATCTCTTTCTCTTTTCTACAAATACTATCATGGTCACTGCTCAAAGGAGTTATCATCTCTAGTTGCATCAACTAAAATTCATTCTCGTTTTACTCGTCATTCAGCTAAGTCTCATTCGTTTACTGTATCTGTCCCTGCATGCTCTAAAAACTTTTATTCATCTAGTTTTTTTCCCCTCACTTCAATCCTTTGGAACTCTCTCCCATCTTCATGTTTTCCTGACTCATACAACCTTCAACTTTTCAAGTCTTCTGTCAACCGTTTCCTTGCTCTATAACTCTGTTCTTTTTTTTCCTAGTAACTCCCAACTTGATAGTGGTTGCTTGCAGCCTTGTTGGGAGTGAATGCAAATTAAAAAAAAAAAAAAGTCAATTCCACACTAAACTTTTCTATACTTTTTTCTTTTCTCAATTTATTATTATTTTATAATAGCAATATTATTTTATAACAGTACAGCAGAACTAAGAAGATCTTATAGCATTATAAACTATAGATTATAAAATGCTAAGGAATTGCCCATAAATTATGTAAAATTTAATTTAAAAAAAATAGAAGAGATCTTCAGTTCTTCAGGAATGTGATTTTCATTAAACTTAATGAGCTATATAGATTTTTTATTTAACATACAACTGCAAGGAAAAATTTTGATCATTTTTGCTTTCTTTAAATGCGAAATCTTCCATTGAGTAATTTATGGATGATCCCTTATTTTAAAGTTTAGATAAAGGATCAGCCAAAAAGTATATAAAGCCAAAAAATAATAGAGTATAATACTATTTTGATGGTTATCTAAATTATGTCGTTGTTGCGCACATGGTTTTGAATGTTTACTGGGGGTGTGGTAAAATAGCTGTATAACTCTAAATTTACTTATTGTATCAATATTAAATAACGTTAACTTTTAATTGATTTTAAAAGTAATTAGTTTAATTTAAATATAAAATTAGAATTTTTAATTATGTTCTTATAAAAAACATACTTTTTTAACCCCCATACTGATTTAAAAAGTTAAGGTCGCCACGTGGCAAGTTCAAACCATCAGCTTGCTCTATTTTTAATTTTTATTATTTAAAATGCAAAACAAAACAACTTTACAGTTCTATAGATTTTATATTCTATATATAAACATGTTGTATACTCATTTTTCTTGTACAAATTCAACTTAGTTGGAAAAAAACTTATATGGAAATGTAAAAATATAATAACATAATCTTAATCATGACACATACACAACAAATATCCCCCTGTTTTTTCATGTTTATAGAACTTTTAGCTTTTTTAAAAATCTTTTCATTTGTTAAAGTGTATAAAACATCATTAGATATGTTTGTATATAATCTTTATAAAACTTCGCAAGTATTTTAAAAATTTTTAAAAATTTAAAAAAAAAGTCAGCGGTAGTTGGATTCGAACCATGGCCTTCTTGATTAGAAGTTCAGTGTGCTAACCACTTGGCTGTGCTGGCACATAGATCATCGTAATTTTAAAACTATATAAAAAAATTTTTTAACGGATATAAATGCTAAAGATCAGAAATTAGAAGAGGTTGACGCGATGCAGTTTTTAAGTAAAAGTCAAACTGTAAAACTTTATATATGTTTAAATATGTTTTAAATTGCATAATTTGTTACACTTAACTTGTTTAACTTCACAAATGTTTTTTAAAGATTGTAAAAGATTTGAAAAAAGAATCGCCAGTCCTTGGACTCGAACGGTTTTCTTGTTCGGAAGCTCAGCGCGCTAACCACTCAACTATGCAGGCACATTGGTCATCGAAACTTTAAATTTATATAAAAATTGTTTTTAACAGATATAGATGCTGAAGATCAGAAATTAAGACGTTGACACAATGCAGTTTTTAAGTGAAAATCAAACTGTAAAACTTACTATATGTTTAAGTATGTTTAAGTATGAAGTCTGGAATCTAGAAGGTTACGGATGATCAAGGACAACTTAGAGGATGAAGTTTTATTCATGATCAGATGAAAGATGTTGATTGGTAAAGTTGATGGAAGCTTTGAGTTTGTTGCACAGAGATCGGAAAGACGAAAGACACAGGAAAAGCCTGCTTTTGTTAAGGTTAAATCTGACACTGTTAACATTGACTTTGCATCAGATACAACAGACAGCTAACCTAGCTCTGATGACAAAAATTTTGAAATACCACAGACTTCAGAACAAATTTTAATTATGCCTAAGAATATTTTGTCTAAAACTGCCAGAACTGCCATTGGCATGGACATCAGTCCTCACCAAGCTATTGCTTTAATAACTTCTGTTGTAGAGAAGTCTGGTGGAGATATAGACAAAGTAACATTATCTAAGACTTTTAAACAAAGAATCTCAGACAAGATTATACACAAGAACACTGCTGTACTCAGAGCTAACCTAAAAAAGAAAGTGAAGGATGCTGATATGCCAATTATTGTGCATTTTGACGGAAAAATTATCAAGGATTACACAGACTCAACAGACAAAACTATAGATAGACTCTGTGTTCTTATAAAGCATGAGGGAGAGACACATCTCCTTGGTGTTGCAAGATTGGCTCATGGGACTGGCGAGGTTCAGTTTGAAGTAATTCAGAAGTTGTTGGATTCTTATGATATTGGTGAGTGGATATGTGGAATATATTTTTACATAACAACTTTAAATACTGGACGCAGACACCATTTTGGAGAAGTGCACATATCTCACTTCAATTCCAAAGTTGCTGGTAAAAGAACCATTGGGCCAGAAAACCAACTGTTTTTGTCTTTAAAAAAAAATTGCCTGAAGTTTAAGCAGATCAGATTGACACCTTTTCAAGATTTGATTACAATGGTATTTGTGGAGAATGGCTAGAGAGACAGGCCATAATTGCATTGGATGTCTACATAAGCTTAAAGAACAAAAATATCCTGAGAAATGATAAGGTAAAATTAAATTTTTTTTGGTGAGATTTAAACAAATCAATATGCAAATTTTAAAATTTAAAAACATATACGTTATTTTTTTTTCAGACATTGGAGAAGCGAGGGGACTGTTTTGAGTTAGCTGGTCATAATGTATCTAGAACAGGGATGTGAGCCTGCTCTGTACAAGTTTCACAAGCCTGTAGCCATATCTCATGCTAGGTTAATGGGAAAAACCCTCTATTACCTGAAGTTTCAGCTTCTTCTTTCCAAGATCCAACAGGTTAATGAAATCTATGATGATCTTATCAAAGAGATCAAGAGAATGACAGACTTTATTACCATCTTAAACACTTCCTGGTTCCTTACTTGTGAGTTTCCAGATTCTGCTTCAGTCAAAGTAAAATAGAAAAAATATAATAAAAAAATAATTAATAATGCAATTTCATTGTGCAGTATGCAATATTTGTTTTACAAAAATAGTAATAGAAATAATGAAAGTGTTTTTTATTTATGTTTGTATTTGAAGTAAAAATAATATTTGCTGACAACTCAACTTTATACCCTTGTCTTGATAAAAAGTCTTCACTTTTTAATTGCTTAGAACAAGCAGCCAATTTTTAATCTGATCTCTCTTCTATAACAGCTTATGGCTTGCAGTGGATTTTGAGCCCAGATTTAAAATCCAAAAGCGATCAAGTTTTGACCTGTTTTTGCATCATATATCAACTAAGATAAAATATTTTGTGTCACTTTACAATTTTTTACAGTACTAATAGTTTCATGCCTAAAGGCAATCATCAGCCATGTAATACCTGGTATATATATACATATATATATATATATATATATATATATATATATATATATATTTATATATATATATATATATATATATATATATATATATATATATATATATATATATATATATATATATATATATATATATATATATATATATATATATATATATATATATATATATATATATATATATATATATATATATATATATAGTAGAAAATAAAACTACGTGATTTTTACAACTTTAAGTTTCATGCTGTTGCAATCATCAGGTGAAATACAAATATAGTTTGTTCTTTAAAAAAATATATACAATTGAAACTATACAGAAAAAAACTATACAGAAAAAACTTTTTTTTATTGTTACGACCGCGTGTATCTAATCTTTAAGTTTGTGGTTGCTCAATAGAAATTTATTTTCGTGACGACACTTGGAGATCAACTCTGTTTTTTTATTGAGTAGCTTTTCAGCATTTTTATAAAGCAAAATAATCAGTTTTTCATATAAATATAGTAAACATTTTTTTGTTTCATTGTTGCAGGCGGGGGCTTTTTTTAGGATAGACCAAGTTAATTCTGGTGTTTCTTTCAGTTCTTCTCTAGTTTCCCATATCTATTTTCCCATGATCTCCAAGTGTCGTCACGAAAATAAATTTCTATTGAGCAACCACAAACCTGAAGATTAGATACACGCGGTCGTAACAATAAAAAAAAGTTTTTTCTGTATAGGTTTTTTCTGTATAGTTTCAATTGTATATATTTTTTTAAACAAACAAACTATATTTGTACTTCACCTGATGATTGCAACAGCATGAAACTTAAAGTTGTGAAAATCACGTAGTTTAATTTTATACTATATATATATATATATATATATATATATATATATATATATATATATATATATATATATATATATATATATATATATATATATATATATACATATATATATATATATATATATATATATATATATATATATATACATATATATATATATATATATATATATATATATATATATATATATATATATATATATATATATATATATATATATATATATATATATATATATATATATATATATATATATATATTATAGCTCTGACATTTATCGAGCACTTTCTTGATAGTATATGCACAAAATAGCATCACTACGTATATATATATATATATATATATATATATATATATATATATATATATATATATATATATATATATATATATATATATATATATATATATATATATATATATATATATATATATATATATATATATATATATATATATATATATATATATATATATATATATATATATATATATATATATATATATATATATATATATATATATATATATATATATATATATATATATATAATATATATATATATATATATATATATATATATATATATATATATATATATATATATATATATATATATATATATATATATATATATATATATATATATATATATAGGCTATCAGTGACACAAAATATTTTATCTTAGTTGATATATGATGATGATATAAAACCTTTTGCTGAAATCTATTCAGCTATCAAAATCATGAGCTTATTCATACGATTGCAAAAATATTAACTGAATAATGTTTAAGTTATAAAAAACCACTCATTAGAACAATTTTTTTTATGCATCATCAAAGTAAGAATAATTATTGTTGTTTGAAAGAAAGTAAGTAATATGATTATTGTTGTTTGTTTGTTTTTCAGATACTGAAAACATTGTCAATAAATTTCAAATATTTAAAACTGATTACTTGAATGGATTTTTGAATGAACATGTGTAACAAAAATATTAAAGTCTTACCAAAAGTTTTATTTTGCAGTACTTGAACCTTATCTTTAATAACTTTGGGTGAAGCAGTCAGAATTTTTTTTACCTTGGAAGATATTGATTCGCTACGAGGAGATACCAGTTGTGGAGTTAGTAGCATGGGGGAAGATCCAGATGTTTGCAATTTTGTATGCTAAGAAGTAGGTTTTTAATTACTAATTTTATGCATAAAATAATAAACTGTATAAAATTTGTTAAGAATAAAACTGTTAAGTATAAAATTTGTTATGTATAAAACTGTTAATTATAAAATAATAACTTTTTTTTATAAGCATTAAATATATATACAAAAAAGTATATATACATAAAATATATACATTAAAATCATAAAAATATATATACATACAGGGTCAGAGTGGCATTTAGGGGCTGATGGGAGACATAGATGCAGGGTCACCTTATAAATAAAAATTTCCTTTTTTTTTTTTAGGTACCTTTTTTAGGGCTATGAGATAGAGAGAGAGCTAAACATAGCAGGGGCTGGGGGGAAAAACCTTAACCCCCTTCGCCAGCCCGACCCTGTATACATAAAAATGTTTTTGCACAAAATCTTATTTAATAAAATAAAAAACAAGAATTTTGTATGTTCTTCTAAAAAAAAATACATAAAACAAATGTTTTCAAATACATAAAAAAGCAAGTAGAGTTAAAATATATAACAAAAACATAATATACAACATAATAAAATATAAATACAACAACAAAATAGCTTTAACATTAAAATTTTATTTAAATATATTCTTTTAATTGAACAAAATTTAACTTTAACAAAAATACTTACATTGACATATGAAGATGACCCCATCTGCCAGTTAGAAACATACTAGTTGTAAATATTTAAATGATTAAACACTAAAAATAAAATTGAAGGTAATAAAAATCAAAACTATAATTATAGATAAGCTATATTAAAACTTTTCTTTTTCATTAAATGTATTGTGCACTACATAATCATGCTATGCACATTTTTTCATTATTTTTAAATCTGTATAAATAGTAGTCGATAATAACAATGTAAACATCACTAATTGCTTGCCCTAAATTACTTTTATTTTTTAAACACGATTTTATGTAGGTGAAAATTTACTTCTGTCTGAATATCCTGCATTTTTAATTGTTAAATGACAAACTTATTAATATTATTGATATTTTCACACAATAATTTATAATAATTTATATTATTATCAAAACTATATATAGGAAACTTAACAATATTTTATATTATAAATTATATTATAAATTATTATACCCTAACATAGTATATTTAAGATGCCACACTATGTGTTTATTTTTAATAAAATATACATGAAAAATAAAATATAAGTTTTGTTATATATAATATTATATATAATATTGTATAAATATACAGTATTTTATAGCTTTGTATATAACACAAACTCTACATAATAAATTTTACAAAACTTCTTAGGATAATGTACAATACATTTATCAAACAATAACTTAAAATACATTTCCAATACAATATATGATATGTTATATTGTAACAAACCTTATTGTGAATCGCAAATCATAATCCAATGTGTTATAAATTACTGCAAACATACTTTATTATTATACTATTTTATTTACTTAACTTATATTTTTTTTATATTATTTATTTAATTACTTTATTATTATATTATCCTGAAGAACTTTGTAATACTTATTATAAAGGTATATTATAGACGAAACTTTGAAATAATATGTTATTGGTAAATTATTTCATTTAATTGTATATTTTTATATAATAGTATAATTATATATAAAGGTATACGATAGGTATGCAATTATATGATTTTAAAATATCATACAGCTAAAAATATAAATTGAAAACGTGTACATGGAAACACTTAACTAAAAATACATTTAAAAAAATTTATGTTGATGTTGGCCGGCAAAATCGACTACTCCATAATAACACTGACGGTATTTTTTAAGTCAAGATTTTAAGTTTAACGCCACTTGAAACAAATTAAAATTATATATATTTCGGCAGTTATTTTAAAAGTGCCGTAGATTTAAAAATAACATTCTTTATAACCCCAAAATGTTTTTGCAAGGTTTTTTGTTTTTATATTCGTTTACTGTGCTAATAATTATTAACGTTTTTTTATATATATAAACAACAGAATAATAATAAAAATATATTACAATAAGTTAAAAATAGGACATAGTTAAAGGGTTATTAAGAACTAGAGAGTCCTATAAAAACATTTATTGCGGCCATAGCTTTTTCATCGTGTAAAATCGTTGTTTGCCGTGATGAAATTTTTAAAACTTGTGATAATTTTGCGGTGACGAGGCTATAAATATGATACAGGTTTTGTGTCCTTGAGGAAAAATCAATTTTGTTAATTTAAAATATGAACAAAAAACCTAGATAAAAAAAGTTTTTCATGCCACGACAACGAACGGTATCCACTCTTGTATCTATTGCGGCAGCTTGTCGATGTACACAATCGTCGATACTCTTGATTAAAAACATCAGTTCGTTTTATAAGTTTACATGGATTTTCAATTTGCCATTTTTTATTGAGCGCCATATTTTTATGTTTAGGTTAAAAGTGTTCAATCAAACGTAATTCTGGCACATTAGCGGGCTTATGCACGTTTAGTAAAAAATTTATAATTTTGTAGTTTAGAGTGTACCTTGTACTTTACGTGAATAATCTAACGAATCAAAATCAGGTCAGAATATCATATTGAATCGTCATTTAATTGATATTTATTCAATCTGACTAGATATTTTAAAATACAAAAACTTTTATTGAAGTCTAAGTTTGATGGAGTAATGTAATGTTGGGAGATTATTTTCGTCGAGAATTAAACTCAAAAAAGTAATTTTGACTTAAATAATGTCTTTCTTTTAAACTTACATCACTCCTTTCTTTTTATTATATTATATATAGTAGATTTTGGCATGTTTTTCATTTGAAAAAAATCTACAATAAAGCTTTATTCTCATTTGGAAGCAAATCCAAAAATGCACACACTAGTTTTTAAAGCGAATGTTTGTCATACGTATTTTTATTTTTTATTTTTTTTTTAGTCAACTGTAATTAAAGTAAAATAGCTTTATAAATACATAGATAGAAATTCGAAACAAAATATCAATATCTTAATACTAGTTATTATCATGTGATAACTAAAATTTGATTTGCATTAGATAGTTTACATTTATAATTAATTTTTTTTTTTTTTTTCAGTAAGAACTTTTTGAAAATTTTACTAGATTTAAAATAAAATTTCTTAATCATTACATCTCAGAAAAGAACTTAACCTGACAATTAATTTTAATATAACTAGTACACTAAAAATGATTTTATTGTTCAAATTTTGTTCAAATTTTTAAGAACAACGGTCTTCCACCTCTAGCCCACAGTGCACAGTGAGCTAGAATAGTAAATTATGAGACAAAAGTAATAAATAGTTTGATATTAGTGCTATTTCAACTAAATTTAGCCAGAATTCCACGGAGATCTGTGCTTCTTGTAAAGTTTTTTTTTTTTTTGATTGCCTTGGTTGTCAATTTTGCATAGCAACAAACTATTTTAGGTAATTGTAGATTTATTTGTGCTATAAACACTAAATTGGTCACATGATTTATATATGGGAGGTGTTTTTACTTGTTTGATATGGACACCTAGTTTTCATAGCAACAACCTTTTTTTTGCAAGTTGCAGTGTTTATTTGACCTATGCCCAGTATATTTGGAACGTCTATTTATACTTCTTAGATTCTCACAGGTTTAAAAAAAAAATTTTATGTCCGTATCTAGCCTACTAAGCATACCCCTCCTCCTCCTTCCCCCCCCCTCACCTTACATTAGGAAACCACTATACATTAGGGTAAAAAATAAAAAATTATTTTCAAATTGATATTTTGTAATAACGTAGCTTAAGTTCTATTGCATTTTTATTCTTTAAAAAATAAGTTCATAAACTTTATAGTTACCTATAAACCTATAAGCAATTTGCAAACTTTTTTTACTTTTTTTTTAAATTCACGCCTCTTTCTTTACCACGCTTATAGGGCTGGAACCTGCAAATCCCGGACTTCTTAAGTATGGCTTCAACTTAAGTATGGCTTGTCAACATCACAAGTCTGTATAAGCAGCGTGAAATGTTTTCTGCAAATTGTCTACAAGCTTGAAAAAAGGAAATACAGAGTAAATTGAGCTTTTGACTAACAGGGTTTACAAGAAAAAAAAAATGAATTTAAACGCAAATGAGTTGAAGATTTTGGTTTGGCAGCTGTCATATCTAAAGCTAATAGCTCTGGCACAAGTAAGATGGCAAGATGGCAACACTGCACAACGTTTCTTTAGGGAATCTGAAAAAGTATATAAAAAAATTGTTTTTTTTTATATCTATTGGTATATATATTGGTATATCTATTGAAAATATAGTTTATTTCTTATACTTTTTCTGTATCAAAAATAAACCAGTTGTTTTCTTGAAAATTTCTTTGTGACCCTATGTACATTATTTTATGGTTTAGATCTTGATGCTAATAACTTCCAAGAATACTTTTTTACCAGTTGCTTGCATGTATGTAAACTTATTTCCATGGCACTACATGCCAATAAGATCTTTTTCGTGTTCATTTAGTAATCAGAATGACTTCCAAATAGCGCGTTATCTGAAGAAGCTCAAGAAGCAACAAACAAATTTTTTAAACATTGTGAACATTTTAACTTTAAAATGTTCAGAGTAAAGCAAAATGAAGATTTAATAAAACGAATATTATGTTCATATGATCCATATATTGACAGCTTGAGAAAACTAGTATTAAATTCGATTAAGGTTATAACTTCTACGTAAAACAATTCAATTACTAGAATCATCAAGCCTTAGTCATGGTACCTAAGTTACATTTTTTAATAGATTAGTTTTATTATTTTAATTTTGATTATCGTCGACACAATTTCCAAATTAGGTATTCATAGAAATTAAATACTCTATTTATAAGAAGTGCAGACCTTATAATAATACTCATGCCAAATTTAGTTATTATACCACTTTTTAAAAATTTACTAATTTTTCTTAAAAACTAGTTTGTTCTATTTTGGCTTCGTCGCTAATTTTTTTCCAAATTTTGGAACTTTATTACAAAATAAGTTTTTGAAAACATAATACAAAATCTAAAAAAAAATTTGACCTACCCTCCGAGACAAAAGCTGGCGCCGCATTCCTTAATTTCAGATTATGCGAAGCATTCTCCATATGAGATATTACACATGCATAGGTAAATATAAGAAAAAAATAATTATCATGCCTTTATTCGCCATAAAAATACACATTATGTAGGCTATATAATTGAATGTCAGTCACTGCCATTTAATAATTTTTGACTAATAGTTTAGAGTATAATTATCATAATGAAACATAATGTATTAATTATCGTATTTCAAATTTAAAAAATGTTCTATTTATTTGCATCAAATTATTGATATAGTTATAAAGATTTACCAAATAAAATAGATTAAATCTAAAAAGTATATAAAATAATAAAAGAAGTATATTTTCATCATAAAAACAACTGCAATGCGCTTCTAAACTTTTCAACTTTTTTTTCCCACTATACTATAGTGGGGAAAAAAAGTTAAACTAAATAATTTTTTTTTTTCAAACGGTTTTTTAACTATAGATGCAACTTCAGCCAGTGGAGACCAGAGAAATTTTTGTGAAATTTATTTCAGAAAACGACCCATTGAAAATCAAGGACTTTTAAAATATTTTCTGTTTTTTTACAATATTGCAATCATTTAAAAAAAAATTTTTTCTTTCATATTTTTTTCACATTAGTTTTTTTATGTTGTATTAATTTTTTCAAGAAGTCACCGGTTTGAATATATAAAAGAAATCACTAAGCAAGCTCATCGAGAAAACTTTTTCTTTAACAGATCAGCCAACTTATGGAATAACTTGCCGAACGATTTGGTTAATTCAGAAACAGTTAACAGTTTTAAAGCCGGCCTTAATTGCTGGATGAGCAGCAGTCAGGCAAATCAGCTGTCACAGTGTGCTAATAACACACTCACTGGTTCATACCAGTTACAGCATTTAATAAAGATAATAATAATAATATTAATATATACACTCTAAAAACAATCCCGTTAAAATCAACGGAGTGGGTTACGGAGTACTCCCTCATTCTAGCACCAACGGAGTACTTCGTTAATTTAACGGAGTAACAATTTAACGGATTCAATCCATAACTCTAATGTAACAAATTACTCCGTAAATGTTAACGTATAGTTCGTTGAAATTACAAAATACTCCGTAACATAAAAAAAAACTATTTTGTTTATCATGAAAAATTGCTGAAATAAAACAGTTATAAATGTTTTATTCCGTATTATTTTTGCAACAAAGTACTCCTGTAAACTTAACAAACTAATTATTAGTGTTTATCTAAAAATTAGTTTTACTGATTTGTATTAGAGATGAGGGTTTTAGACAACATAAACAGCAACAAAACATTTGTAAAAATAAATAAAAATAACACGTTGTAACAAAATTGTAAATCTTCATGTATATTAAGATAAATAAATGATACATTTAAGTAAAAACATATTTAGAGACTGTTGATCGCAGCTCAACCACTCTATTAGGCAACGAACCGTACTGCAGCCCATAAATATCTTGCATAAACTGCCAGAACATGATTGTTGATGGCTGGTATTCGATGTTAAAGCACCAAATAATCTTGAAAAAACGATCGATGCCTTTTACGATAGATGTGCCGGCTTTAATCAAAGTTTTTTCAAATGCAATCTTTATAGAGAGAATTTTTTCACCCTCAATCCCCTGTATTGATATTACCGGATAAGGGGATTCCAACTTTTCTGCAACATCTTGCAGTTCATGCTCAGCCTAAATTTGCAATGAGGCTTTTGCAATTTGCTAAATTTGCAATGAGGCAACCGAGATAACAAAAGTTATCTCGGTTGCAATGAAAATTGCAACCGAGATAACTTTTGTTATCTCGGTTACAATATTATTATAAATTGTATTTATATATTTATAAATTATAATTTTTTGTTTTTTTTTAATTTAAAACTGTAAATCAACTAAAAAACAATTTCTTACACTGCATATCCGAATGATTTCATTGGCTACTTCTGGAGCAGAACGTTTCTGTTTCCCCCCTTGTCGCAGAAGCGAGCACAAAAGCTTGCATGCATAACAAGCTTTCCAATCTAAAACAAATATATAAACCATACGAAAACATTAAAGTGCCAAACATACTAAGGTAATTTTATGCAAAATATTTGTGAACAAAAAAAAAGATTATCTTTAATAAAATTAATGCAAACCATGATGTTTTTTAGATGCCATTATAGCTAGAGCTTTGATGTAATCACTATTTGACAGTGAAGCATATTTTAATACTGGGTCTGCAACAGTCTGATTAAAGGTTTTGAGGATATCAACCATGCAGTCTGAATATTTTAATTGAAATTCCATATCAATCTAAAAATAAATATTTTTGAATACAATGCCTAAAACTGTATTAATCTTATCAATTTACTTGCTATAAATCATTTAATAACAAACTATCTGTACAATTATTTTATTATCACTTATACATGTATGAATATTATACACTAAAGTTTGATATGTGATAAAAAGAGCCACATTATAGATAATTTTGACAAAAAAAATGCCAGCTCTGGAATAATCCTGAACTTTGGAAATTTAACTATCAGTCGGGATAATGAAGGTTGATCTGTTGAACGAACCCAATTCTGCCAAAAACAAAACGTTGACTTTGTAGAAGCCTTTTTTTCTTCTACATGTGTAGAAGATAGTGAATCAAGCTTTTCAATTTCATAGAGGTTGCTCATTCCTGAAATTAATTCAAATATAAAAAACACAGAGCAACAATATAGATATTAAAATTATAATCAACAATAATTTTGAAAGACCTATATTACTAGGTCTTTTTTTTTTTATTTTACTTAGTAAAATTGTTAGTAACGAATAATTAGTAAATAATAAGTCTTTACAACATATATGTTTTTTATTACAAAAGGTTTTTACAACAACTTTACAGATATAGATAATTAGATAACCTAAACATAATGCGCAAAACATGAAACCACGGGGACACCCTTCAGGTTCTACTGCATGATCCACTGGTTGAGATAGTTCAGTAACTGCAAGTTGAGTTGTATCACAACAAGTTGAGTTGTGTCCCCTTTTACGAGACCAAACAAACATTTTTTTTGATCCAAGTATACAAAAGAAAATATAGCTTGTAAATGTAGCTGCTTGTATGACACAAAATAAGGCAATGATTTAAATAAACTTTTAGTAACTAAAATGAATTATTTGCAATCAAGACATACAGTGGAGAAATTACATCACAATAACACACAACAAGGAGATTACAAAGCAAGTTGATAATATAAAAAAAAGTTCGTCAGCATCTACAGTTAAATTTATATTCAACTAATTTAACTAATTTTAATAAACACCAGGTAACTTTCTTCTAGCATTTTCCAATCCTCTCTTCAGGAAGCCATGATAATTAGTAGAATCATAAAAAATGCATGCTGGAAGTACATGTGCCTCACTTAGCACTGCTGCCAATAAAATCTTTTAATATCAATCAGGATAATTACCATACACACTCATCATTTTGTGCACAACAACTCGAATGATGTTGATTGAATGATGTTGATCAAATGATGTGCACAACAACTCGAATGATGCAAGAGATTGAAACTTTACCAGATTCAATCTCTTCAGTATATTGACAAGTATATAAAGTAATAAATAAAGTAATACATGATATTGCTATTCATTAAAAAAACACACACAAAAAACCTTGAAAAAAACTATTTTTGCTAAAAAAGCAAGTAAAATTATTGCTAAAAAATTATTACGTAAAAATATATACAACTTGTATGTATGTAAAAACTATTTAAGTATTGTACTTACAGGGTGTTGCGCAAGAAAGGCTTTAATCAAATTAGCTGAAACAAACGCCTCGTTTGCACCTTTCATTATATGGCTGTTGTTAACAGAAACACTAGATTTTGAGAGCGTAATACTGGAAGTTAATGTAGTTTGATTTGGCTGCAACGAAGGCAACACTAATGGTGAATTTAATTTTGTCTGTATTAAAACAAATGATTTTTTTTAAAATTTATAAAAACAGTTTATAAAGTTAAAACTCACTAGAAAATGCTAATGCTAAAGTATTTATGATGAAAAAAAGTTTATTAAAAAATTTACACAGTAGCAGTCTTTATTTGTAACTTAAATTGATGTACCGAAATAGCATTCGTCCACTGCTGACCATCTATAAGTAGAATGAGAATTGTGTTTGATTCTGCTAATTGTTTTATTATTTCAAAATCAACTTCATCAACTTCTGCGCCATCATTTTCGTAGACAAAGCTAACAAGTTGATCTGATTTCAAACCAAATTTGCAACGCACTGGAATAACAATACACAGTCATTTAGTTTTTTATATACACAACACAAAAAAATTCAGACTAGTTAAAGTGAATATATATGAATGCACAGTAACAACTTCATATACAATTAAACAATTATACATATTTAATAACTAAAGGTTTATATATTTTTCAGTTTGTAATGCATAAATAAAAAAACAATCAATATTTCTACTTTAAATTTTTATTCTAAAAAATTGTGTATCTCAGATTTACAAAGTTGCTGTATTTGCTGTAATGGATAGCATACAAAGTATATTTATTTTGCAAGAGAAACAATGCATTTTAGCTCTCCAAACTGAGGATGACTTTCTACGATGCCATGACACAAAACACAACCTGGCTTGATTTCATAACAGCCAAATTTTACTGAACGAGCAACATATATTTCATCACAATTGTCCACATTAAAAACTGTGTGCAAACTATTCGATACTGCTGATTGCAAATTGCCTACAATTACTGTATCACATATGCCAATTTGTACATAGTCTGTATACAAAGACCCACTAAACAATGTATTTGCTAGTTTGAGTTGACTACGATGCATAATAGTTTTGCAAATGTTTTTAAAATTGCGAACAACAGAAATCAGTTCTTTAGCAAATCGATGCTTTGCTTCAAAACGCATATACCAGTACCGCTTAAAGGCCCATACTTTGCCATAAATTCTGGATAATGTAGCATAAAATGATGTTTTGGAATAAGTCTCTTCTCAGGATATAAGTTTTTAAATTGGGCATGATGTTCCTCCAAATTAAACTCCAGCTGACGAATGAGGCCAACAGTTATAGTTGGTGCCAATATTGCATCCATGCAATCAAGTAACATTAGTAGAAGTCTCCAATGAGCATCACCTTCTGGAATTAGGTTTCCAATCATTAAAGGCAGATTTCTTATCAAACACCATGATTCAGCAGCTTGAATGCGAATATTTTTTAAGTTTACTTCTGGTGGTTTGCTGTTTTTGTCAGCCAATAAATAGTTATAATTATTGATTACATTGTTGATATCTGCAAGCAGAAAATACTTTTTGTCTATCAGTAATTGCAAAACCAGGCATATGTCTAAAGGAACAACACCTTCTAATACATCATGCATGCAGTCAACTGCACTCTGGTCTATGCAGTGAAACTGTGACAAACAATTGAAAGGACAACCATGCTTAATGCCAGATTCTGAAGCATTGTAGTTATTGTTTCTACATTCTGATACACACATATCATATTCTGCTTGAGTCCTTCTAACAAACGTTTCTGCCTTGAATAAAGTGTGAATTTCAAAATGTGCACACTTGCAAAATCTACAAAAAAGTTTTGCATTAAAGCTTTCCATGAAGCCAAACAAAGTGCGTGCTCCTAAATTATCAGCAGAAAACAAAATCAAAATGGCATGAATAGTTTCTTCCACTCCATTAACTACGACAACAACACCCTGTTCACTTTCCAATTGTTGCAATAAAGATACAGCACTATGAAAAATTGGATAGTATGAGTATTTATCTGTGTGTGCATCTAGCGCATACCATAAACCTATCAAAAAAATGCTATCATAAACCTATCAAAAAAACGCTGATATTCAGGAGCAATATTGCGTATCATCATATATAATGCTTCAAGTTTATGTACATGTGTATGACTCCCAAGCACATTTGTTACTTCAAACGCATCAATAAAAAAGTGTAGCAAAAATGTTTTTTGGTGCCGTTGAAAAAATGAATGATGGTGAAAAGTATGTGTATCAACAAAATCTTGTATTTTATTTGGGAGTGAACTAGGTGTGCACTGTGGGAAAGCAATCCTTGATAAAGCTTGTCCAATATCTTGGCAAGTAGGATATCAATAGGCACAACGTAGCATTTGTCCTCTACTAAAACAGAATGTATCGATTGCAATGCCATAGAGTATTTTTGCTCTTCACGTATACCCAGTGATATTTCTGTTGCCTCAATATAGTACCCATGTTCTTTTAGCCATTTGTTTCTTTTATATATAGTGTCAGTTTTATTGAAAATGCTAAACTTACTTTTAACATCTTTTATCGCATCAAAAACAAATTAATTAGTTGGAGCTACTTTCAAATTAATTGCTATAGTTTTTATTGTCTTTGACGCATAAACAGCAACATCATTTAGTAGGCCAGACATATTTTCCATAACAAGCTGCGAATTAGCTAAAATGATGTTTGGTTTTGAAGTTATTTCTGATACAAACTTCATAACAGATACTTCAATACTGTCTCTTGTTATAGAATTAGAGTTAACCATTGTGGCATTATTACAATCTTGATCTAGGCCACTTGGAAAATTTGTGTCAAATACATCTTCATGCATCTTCACTTTGTAAGTTGTTGCTGCAACTTTCATTATTGTTGAAGCCAAAAGTTTGAACTGGCACAACAGAATGATGGTGCTAGAAATGCTTTTTTAACTTACTAAAGCTTAGGAATACTCGTGGACAGTTATTAAACATACAGCATATTTCAGATCCTCTTGTAGCTAAGCTATGAAAATTTCAAAAATCATTTTCGAAATTTTCATAGCTTAGCTACAAGTGGATCTGAAATACGCTGTAAATACATGCAATGTTTTAAATGCTCAATTTATTTTGCAGATTTATTCGATCTTTTTTAGCATTTTCAAAATCTGCAAAATAAATTGAGCATTTAAAACATTGCATGTTTGTTTTAAAATGTTTTTATATTGTCACCTTTTGCAGCAAATTCTTCACTGTTATTGATTCAATATAGGTACGTGGAAATATCCGTTTTACGGAACCGAATATTGTGCTAAAAAACTGTGCCACGCTTTTTAGATATTTTTTTAGGTAGCGTAGGGAAGACGTGTTTAGTTAAAAAACTTTTTAGAATTTAATACCAGTATAGATTATTTTTAGAAACTAGAATAGTTAAACTTTATTACTGTGAGGTTTATTATTTTACTAGATGGCTTTTTTATTGAGTTTTTTGATGTCTAAAACTTTGTTGTACTTTGGGCATGAAATTAATGTCGAAGATATGCTCATTTTTTTTTTATACTATTCTTTTTTTTAAGTTTTTCATTTATCTATGCACCTGGAAAATTTCATTGAAAAAAAAGTTGTAGCAGGGTGTCTATTTTTTGTCGCACTTTTGGTACCTAATTTTCACTTTGCTGAAGTGGTCGCGGGAGACAGAGGGGTTAAATAAAAATTGTTTATATTTGATTTTGATTAAATAAAATTTTCAGTTTTTTTTTTAGATTAAATAAAATGGAAAGTAGAGATATTGATAAAAGTTTTTAATATTGTTTCCTATTTATTAAATTATTTATAAATTATTTGCCTTCAATGTAAAGTTGTAATGTTTCCTACTTTAAAGTTGAATTTTTTTAAAAATGTAACTGACATATTTGTAATATTATAACATATTTTATCTTACATTGTAAGTCTCTCCAATAACAATTGCAATATGCTACTACTTGTTGTATCATGCATCTTTTTCTAAAAAAGTCTAGGTAAAAACTAGACTTTTTTTTTTAATGATTAACTGTTAATCTTTCAACTGTAATAAATAATCGCTTATAATTAATACTTAACTTAACGCTGCCGCTGCTGCTCACCATTCGTGCACCTTTACACGGACTTTTTTACCATACTTGGCCTTTGAGTTTTATTATAAATTGCTTTACTTCTGAACTCGCGTAATGAGGCTCTTTCAAATCTTAATAATCTGTCAGTATCTGCCTAATATTTTAAATAGTTATAGAAAAACAAATCAAGGAGAAAACATTTTTATAACAACCCACTCAAGCAGCGCAATTGATACCCTCCCTGCGTTCTACCAACAATTGATCAAAAATTGGAGTCGCATTTTTAACAATGAGAGTGACATAAAAAATATGTCCATTGAAGAAATTCTCAATCAGCCTCTTTTTTATAACAATTTTATAAGAGACAAAAACCACCAAACCCTAAAACCTAAAACAGAAACTACCTTGAATCAAATATCTAAAATATCAGACCTTGCTAAGGTTTTTGTACCGGGATTCTTAAACTACCAATTAACCGGTCTTAAACAATTAACCTTTAAAAAACTAAAAAATTCCATTCCGCGTGTCTGGAAAACAAAAATAAAAAATGAATGTCAGTCTTATGACCATAACAAATCAAATTTCATCTTGAGAAATTTTACGAACCCTCCAAAGCAAGTCTCGATCACCGAGCTAACTTCAAAAACAATATATGATTTTTTAATGAAAAAAAAATACGGTCTGGGTGTAAAAACCTTATACACCAAATGGAACTCCATATTTGAAAGAAGTATGACGGGAACCTCCTCAATGGAATGGTCCCTCCTTTTTCAAAACATATTTAAAAGAAATAGTAACAACAAAGCAAACGAAATAAAATATAAAGCCATCCACTTCGCGCTACCCACAAATTCTATCCAAATGGAACTCCATATTTGAAAGAAGTATGACGGGAACCTCCTCAATGGAATGGTCCCTCTTTTTTCAAAACATATTTAAAAGAAATAGTAACAACAAAGCAAACGAAATAAAATATAAAGCCATCCACTTCGCGCTACCCACAAATTCTATCTTTAAACGCAGAGGTCATGCACCGGATGACCTTTGCCCTCAGTGTATGAAAGATAGAGAAATTCTATCTCACATGATATATAGTTGCTAAAAAGTTCAACCCTTAATTAAATACACTATTTTTTTGCTAAATAAGATTTATCCAAGCAGTAAACCTTTTAAAAACACTTTTAAATTTTATCTTTTTGGTTTTGTTGAAAACGCGCAAAACTTTTATATTGGAAATTTATTGCTTGACGAGCTTTTATATTATGTCTATACGATACGTATGAGAGCTTATCATGAGAGAACTACAAGCGCAAGAATAAGCCTTTTAAAGGAATATATATCTAAAATTAAAAAAATACTTCAAACAGAACATGATATTGCAAAAGAAAACAATCAACTAAAATGGTTCTTAAACGAAACAAAAAAATAAGAGACGAAAACGGAAATGTAAAACTAGAAAATAACCTAAATGGATTTCTGAGTTAAATCAAATCACCTAATACTTTTTGAAATATCCAATTTTTTATTTTCATTTTTTAATTTTTATTTTATTTTTTGACTTTTATTTTTTTCCACTTTTCTTAACTTTTCTTTGCTCGCTTATTCTTGCTGCGCTCTGTTTCTCGACATGAAAAGCATAGAAATATTTTGGTTGTGTTTAGATCATATCCCATTCGGAACGATTAATTTTTACTTGCGTATTTTGCCGAACAACATTTAAAAAAATTTGCGGAGCAATATTAATAACAACACAACACACGTGCCATATATTATTGTTTGTTACTTAAAATTGCTTTATTACGTGGTCTTTATTTTGTTAACTTTATTGATTTTACAGTGGGTTATTGTATTAATTCATGGATGTAATAGTTCTTAAAGGTTAGTGTTTCTTTCATATACATAATTCTTAACAATATAATAACAATAGTTATATATATATATATATATATATATATATATATATATATATATATATATATATATATATATATATATATATATATATATATATATATATATATATATATATATGTATATATATATATATATATATATATATATGTATATATATATATATATATATATATATATATTTATATATATATATTATATATATATATATATATATATATATATATATATATATATATATATATATATATATATATATATATATATATATATATACACATATATTTATATAATTTTTAAATGAATAACTATTTAAAAAAAAATTTTTTTTAACAACATTTTTTATCAACATTAATTGATATCATCAGGTAAAAAAAATTACAATTTCTATATATAAACAATTTATTTATCTGCATTAAAAATTTAATATTTTTACAATTGTTACCATAATTACTTTTTATAAGATAAGTAATTACCATGAAGAAACTCTGACAATAATAGAAAAAGAGTCAGTTGAGTTTTTGTTTTCTTGCGTTGAAGTAAGATGTTTGTAAATATAGGATGCCTGATCTAAATTTAAATTTTCTGAAACCGTTGTTGTGTAGTGTCTGGTGTTTTCACCAATATATCCAGCATTACAGCTGGAGCAAACAAATTTATAGACAACAAAGGTTTTTAAATTTGGGGGGGTTAGGGGTCTTTGATGAAATCATACTACTTATTTTAAAAGTTGTAAAAACTAGTCTTGCTTTTATATTATCTTTACAATATTTTAAATGTATTTTATTAATTGATGTTAAAATGTATTTGAAAATTTTCCAATATAAGGGAGTTTAAAGTAATGTATATCAGATGGTTTTGGAGATGACATGTTTTCTTTAGGAGAGATAAGATTTTTAGTCAATTTTTGAAAGTTTTGTCAATTAAGTTGAAGGCAAAAGAGTTTTTTTGGAGAGTTTATTTAATTTTTACAATTTCTAGATGAAAACTTGCTGTTTTTTGAAGGCCCTATTGATCAGAGTTTTAATGAATTCTTGTTCATAATTATTATTAGTGAAGCTTTTAAAATTAGTTTGTAAAACTGTGTATTTTTTTTTGAAAAATTTTGAAGTATTAAATTTATAATTTACAGAGTTAATAATAATATCAATAAAGTTCAATTTGCGATCAATCTCTTTCTCTTTATTAAGTTTGGGGTAACTTAATAAACTTAAGAACAGTCACAGTAAAGGGATGAGACTTCATTGACGCATAAATTCATGAGAATGAATTTTAGTAGATGGCACAAGAGACACTAGGGCCATCATACTATTTGTAGAAAAGAGAAAGAGAAGCAACATTAAGATGTGACAATGTTTGGAGATTGGCTGCAAGAACAGGTCCAACTATGTTTACGATTATGCACCTTATCAAAAAGAGAAAGAGCATCATTGGAAGATCCACCCCAGATATGGCAACTATTTCATAAAAGTATGACAGAATCAATAGTAAGAATGTGACAAGCCTGATAAGGAGATGCATGCTATTTTATTTTGAAATGGATTTGATATATGGTTTCTGAGAATGATCAGAGGTAAGAGTTAATTCTAGGAGCCAAAGTGTAGATGATTCATCAAGTATATTACCGTTCATAAAAATAGAAAGATCTCGATTATTGTGATAACGATTAGCTAAAAACTATTAAGTCTTATCTGAGTTAAAGTTCATTAGCCATTCAAAGCCTATATATATATATATATATATATATATATATATATATATATATATATATATATATATATATATATATATATATATATATATATATATATATATATATATATATCACCGTTCTCCTAAATGAGCAATTAGTGTCAACTCAAATTCCAAAGAAACCACAATATGCCTGTGAAAGCTCCTGGATTCCAAAAATATAAAAAATCAAATCATCCTATTATGTCCGAGAAAGAAAATTACTTTTAAAAATTTATATATTGCACATATTCATGAAATGACAGCATTCTCGAAATTTTACATTTTTACAGCATATCTTAACATTCAAAAAGCTCATTGAAAATAATAAAACCTACTTAACATAATAAAGAAACAAAAAATATGAAAATGTGAAAGATTTTATGTTATAAAATTGGTAGTAATCCAAATAGGTTAAAGATCACTTGGGTAAAATATTGCTTTTCTGAAAGTTTTTTCTAATAAGTTAACTTTAGAATAATTTCATTAATAGTTTGGTAGTAATCCAAATAGGTAAAAGATCATGTAGGTAAATATAAAAGAAATATTAAAATAAATTCCACATTTAAAGCAACAACATTCTTGA